TGTGCTCTAATATCTTCCCAGCAACAGAAGTCAGACTGACCGGCCTGTAGTTTCCCGGGTCATCCCCATTCTTAAAGATTGGGATAACACTCTTGTCTTTTCCAGTCTTGTGGGACATCCCCAGTCCTCCAGGAGGCCTTGAAGATGACGGACAGAGGCTCTGCAAGTTCATTAGAAAGTTCTTTGAGCACCAGCGTGCACACCAACTGGCCTGGGGGATTTGTATTCATCCAGTGCAGCCAGGTGCCTCTTCACAACCTCCCTGTCAATGTCAACTGGACACTCAGGTGTCCTGTCATGTCCTCTACCATCTCTAGATGGGCTCGATTTCTTCTGAAGAAGAAGAGGAGGAGATTGGATTTATACCCTGCCCTTCACTACCCAAAGGTGTCTCAAAGCGGCTGACAAACTCCTTTCCCTTCCCTTCCCCACGACAGATACCCTGTGAGCTAGGTGGGGACGAGAGAGCTCTTGACGGAAACGGCTCTTTTTCAAGAACAGCTCTTATCAGAACGATGGCTTGCCCAAGGTCATCCAGCCAGGTGCAAGTGGAGGAGTGGGGAATCAAACCCAGTTCTCCCAAATTAGAGTCCGCGCACTTAACCACTACGCCAAACTTAACCACTACACAAAACAGAGGCAAAAAAGTCACTAAGCCTGTCTGCTTTTTCTCTGTCCTCAACCAGAGCTTCTACTCCCAAAAGCGGTCCCATTGCCTCTTTTACCTTGTATTTGCTTCTCACATACCTGTAGAAGTTTTTTCGTATTGTAGCGAGCCCCCCTGGCCAGACCCAACGCATACTCTGGTTTCTCTGATGGCTGATTTACAGTACCTAGTAACTCTCATGGACTCCTCTTTAGAGGTCTGACCTTCCCTCCATTCCCCTCCATTCCCTTTTGCTCTCTTAGCTTATTCTGGAGCTCTCGGTTCATCCACATCGGTTTCTTGGAGCCCTTACTACGTTTCCCTCTTGCTGGCATAGTGAGGGCTTGAGCTCACAAAAGCTCCACTCGCTGCTTTCCTTCTCTCCTTCCAGGTGTGATGCACACAGTTTATGGAACACTCTCATGCACTCAGCAGCACTCTGTCGGACTTAGTCGGCTAACCTGAGTGGACTCAGTTAGCACCTCTGACATGCACAGACATACAGATAGGTTAAGTGCCGTGGATGATTTCAATTACAGAAGCAGAAATCAATTATGAACATATATTCAGATATTCACTTTGGTTCATGGCTGAAATGCATTCTGGGGAAAACACTAAATGCTGACAGGCAGTAACTGACTGCTTATGACCTTGCTTATAATGGCCAGTCGTAACTGCGCATGTCCCTGATGCCAGGAAGCTTGCGCTAGATGGAAACCATACTACACGATGTACCCATATCTGTTACTTTAGATACTTTTTGTCACTTCATAGCCTGGGAAGAAGAAGGCCCATTGATCAACTGAAGGAGGTATATTTTTGCCTGAGAAAATCCAGCCCACGGGCCTGGGCCCAATCGGTACG